CTTAATTTCCTTAATTTCCTTTTAAAAAAACAAAACAAAAAAATTATATAATAATAATAATAATAATAATAATATAAAAAAAATGAAAATTAATTATATAATATTTTTAATATACAAATTTTTAATTTCATATATTTCAGCACAATGTTTTTATCATCCAAATAATATTTTAGCATCATTAGAAAATATAGAATGTACATGGGATTCAAAAGTTGAAAATGAAAAAATATCTACTCGAGAATTATCAGAAGAAATATTTAAAATTCAATTATTAAATTGTGATGCTGATAATATAACATGCGATAATGTATTAAAAGAATTTAAAAGAGCGGCAAAACTTATTGCATCAATATTCATATTTAATACACAAATTAATATAAGCGTTAGTTATTATGATTTATGTACTGTATATCCTGAAAATATATGCAAAATTTTAGGAGGAGCAGCTTATCCAACTCAATTTTATTTATTACAAGATGATGATGGAATGAAAAGATTATATCCTCAATCATTAGTAAAACAATTTCAATTTCCAAATACACCAAAATTTAATGAATTTGATATAAGTGCAGAATTCAATTCAAAAGGAGGTTTTTGGTTTAAAGAAGATTTAAATAATATAAAACCAGATGAAGGAGATATTTTTTGGACAATTTGTCATGAATTAATACATGGTTTAGGATTTTATAATGGTTGGATGGGATATAAAAATAATCCAATAGCTGTTATACCATTACCAATTTATGTAAATCCTGATGGAATAGTTCTTAAAAATAATTTATTTTCATTTGGTTCTTCATTTGTTGAATTTATGATGGATAAATATACTATATTACTTTCAAATGGTACTCAAATATCACAATTTACTCAAAAATTAAATACTTTTTTTGATGAATATAAATCAAATGCTTTTAGTGATGAATTTGTTAATTCTTCTCAATTTAAATTTGCTCAAGATTTATTGGTTCTTGCTACTACTCCAAAATCTCTTGGTTTATTACCAAGAAATTCAAAAAATTATTCTATTGATTCTTTTATATTAGAAACTTCTATACCTTTTGAACAAGGTTCAAGTTTAATTCATGTTGATTATAAAACTTATATAAATACGAATGATTTTTTAATGACATATAATATTATTGATGGTATATCTACTGAAAATATGATATTGGATAATGGAAATTATTCTGGTGGTCCAATAGGTCCTAAATTAAAACAAATGATGGAAACATTTGGGTAAATAAAAAAAAATAATAAAATTTTTCTTTTTCTTTTTTATTTTTTATTAATTTTTTTTTTTTAAAAAAAATTTATAGATATACTACAGCAGATAATCCAAATCCGTATAGACCTCAACCATTTAAATCACCACCTTCTAATGTAACATCGAAACCAAATATAAACTCGGGTTTTAGAACAGAAATGATAAGAAATTTAAATGTTTTAATAATAATCGTATCCTTATATTTACAAATTCATCGACTCCTCTTTAATATTCGATTAACATAAAAAAATGGTATCATTTTTTTTATAAATAAAAGTTATGGATACCTGCAGGATTACGTCATTACGATATAATGAAATGAAGGAATACAAAAAATTTGGAAATTAGCGAAATAATAGTCACATGTTCTACCAACTCATAAAAAAATTTATTAATTTATTTCAGATTATTTATTTATAACTATAATATTGTACAAACCATAATTATTTATTTAAACAAATTTATTATAATCATGAATAATTATTTCAAATTTTCAATTTAAAATTCTGTCTACATAACTACAAGTACGGTATTTCTACAAATATGGCGTAATATTTTTGTTTTTCGAGACCTCCAACTCACTGAAGTAAACACGTCCATACTATTTTATGAAATAATATTTTAAACAATAATTTAATTAGTTGCAAATGCTATAGAAATATAATATAATCAAATAAATAACTTACTAACTAAAAAAAATTACCAAATGATTATATGGATAAAGTGTTTAGTTAGTTTAAATTATTTGTAACATCATATAAATATAATAATGGAATAACTTACGAGCTATATATATATATTTTTTTTAAAAATAAAGAATTTAGTTAGTTTAAAATTATATGTAAATATTATAAGATAATAATGCTACATCAAGAGAAAATAAAGAAACACATGGAGACGATTACAAAATTGGAAAATAGAGATGAACCAATCAAATAATGATACAGTAGATAAAGAATGAATAATATCGGGAGATAAGGAGTTAATTAAGTAGCACGAGGTCGCTATATCTGAATTAGAAGCAAAGATTAAAAAATTTAGAAGTAAAGAAAAATGAAACGAGGCAAAACAACAAAAATAGTAAGTCTAACAAGAGACGTAACAACCGGAAAAAATCAGATACACAAACATCGCAAAATGGAAAGATCGCTGAGGTTCCGGCTAAAACAACTACCGACGTTAACTATTTGGAAATTTTTTTTGTCGATATTTCACGTGACTTAAGATTCTATGATTTCCGTCATATTGGAAAGTGGGTTACGCAGAACATCTAACAGTCAAACGCAATTAAAAATATAAGACTGTTCAGACCAGAATCCGCTTAACAAGAGATATGTAAATAATTTTCATAAAAGGTGGATCCAATATAACAATTTCGAGAAATGAACGGTTATATTTTTTTAGGATGTTTGACGCAAAGATTTCTTCAAGCGACATAAAGTAATGATATAGTTATCAAGCGGTTAAAAAAGCTGAACGATAAAGAAAACGAAAAAAAAGAATATACAATTATTAAATACTACATAAGAAAATACGGAGGCCACTTCGCTAAAATCATTAAAATTAACAAAATGAAATATATTTTAATGTATTTTAATAATGAACAAGAATTATCATTTCTTTTTACTTTTTTGGGATGGGAAATTGAAAGATTGTATTATTTGTGTTTGGTTAATTACTTAATCGGTGTTAATTAGAAGATAATAAAAAAAAATCTATTTGAAAATGATACATTATAATATAGTAAATAATTTATATGAAAAAATAATATCTGATATCATTGTTCTTTATAAATTTTTGTTTAAATCTTACAGTACAATCTTATAGTACAATCCATGTTAATAATATTGTCATACAACAAGATAAAGATGTACAGTAACTAAATATGGTAAAGTTTAAAAAAAAAATTTGAAAAATTAGTATCGGCATTTACTGCATCTTTATGTCCATTATGAGCGTTATATTGGTAACGGCCAAGAAGTCTTCAAATAATTTAGATGGTAAATGAAGAAATGTACTCGTATATTGAATACATAAAGGGACATTTAAACAACTAATCAGTATTTATGCAGTAAAGTTATCTTTTACGATAATCATTCAGAAAATTTTATTTTAAAAAAAAAGAATTAACTACAAGAATTACAGGATTAATATTTTAATCTCTTTAAAATAATGTCACGTCAAAAAAAATAAAGTCCGCTAAAAAAATGTTCCAAAATGCTTGTTTAGATTACATAATGAAAAAAAATCAAATGATTGAAAAAGATATGACATTACTTAATAAGTCGAATTTTGAATTGATAATGTCAACGTTCAGTTCATCATGATAATAATGATGAAGAATACGCGGAAATTTGTAATGAATTTATAGACGAATATATGGTGAATTTCTTGTGTAAGAAGAACCTTGATGATAATAATCTAGAAATAAAAAGAAAGGTTATCCTATGATCACTCAGATAAATGAGTTATTGAATTACTAGGCTGATATCAGAACGCTCATTCACGCTTACTCAGGCACATATACCAGATTTCATCTAGACTCACAAAGAATCCCGACAAATAAGCTTATAAGCAAATTTGGAAAACCTTAGACATATACATACGTGAGCAGACCCATGAACTAAATCGTAAAAAAGCCTTCATTGCAATTAAAGCCCAAACTTTTTAAATTTAAACACAATAACTCACCAAATGTA